CTGATGCACTTAAAAGTACCAGGGTACGCTAAGGCCTGTCGTTTAGAGTATTGTCAGTTGAAGGGATAACTTGGACTAAGCCCCCGATAGAACTAGACTACAACTGAGGGTGTCTGAAAGTCCTGAACCCTTTCCGCCACTATTACTGTTTATTGGCTGTTCGAAAATTTGTAGTGAGCTCCCACACCGCGGCATGTATCAGGTAACGGGATTGCACTTCTCTACCTGCCTCAGAGGCTTGCCGAAAACTCGTCACTAACGCAAGTGAGCACCCCATTGTCTGCCTTCCCCGGTCTGGCCAAGCACGTCCCTGGGGCTGCTTTACAAATGAACCACTTGTGACAACCCCAGCATTTACATACTTCGGACCCGCATCCCTCACGGCCGGACTGCACTCGTCCGAGGGTCAACTTCCTCCTACCTTTTCTTCATTACTTCTGTATACAATAAACTATTCCTACCGGTCTGACCTCCCGTTTCTTCTTTTCCCACAAAGAACTGGACCTGAAGATCACAGTGGCAAGGGTCTTCTCTTTTAACTTAACCTCTGTGATACATTCGTTCTCCTACCTTCTCTTCTGTTACAATACAGGTCTGGTGATGAATAATCACCAAGATCCATTTGCCATTTTTTAACTCTTTACATGGGTATCGTCACTGAATAGAAATACATAAAAACGACAGTCAGTTGCAGGTGACTGCCTCTTGAAGGAGAACTGGCGTTAGTAAAGTAAACACTCAGAGAACTTGTGGAACTCGCTCCAAAATATATCATAAAGCTCTGGATAGGTATGGATCAGATTTCCCAGTTGGAAGGCAGGATCCTCAATAATTTTTAGGCCCACTCTACGGTCCTGGTCTGCATAGCACAAGAGTACCTTGTTGCCTTTGTGAAACACCATAACCAGCCACCGCAGATCAGGCCTATTTGCGAAGAAGGGTTTCAGTGTCTGCACGCGAGGATAGGTGCCATACGCAAATTTCAGCAGAAGGTATTTGACGGAGCGAAGATTGGCAAGTGTCTCGTTTAAAAGTATCAGGAAATCATTATCCACAGAAAGCCTACTGAACTCCAGGAAAAGAAGCTCGAGGGCAGTAGCTGGTGGTAATGTGGTGAAATCGAAGGTAAGAGTCCTCAGGGAGAAAATGTAGAGTCTTCGAAGGTGAGGGCAGGTAGCCAGAATCTCGTGAATTGTCCGGTCGTGGAATATGTCCACAGTGACAATGCGCACTTTCTCTAGTGAGGGAAAGATATTCAAGTAGGTACAAATATCCTTCGCAGATGGACGTATTTGCTGATTAACCAGTAGTAGGACAAAACTGGCAATCATTGTCACCTTACGAACATTTACGCACTTGCCCTGCAGGTGAAGAAGCCTCTGTCTAGTTGACACATCTGAGCAACAGGCCCAAATGAGCTCAGCGGACACTTCCAAATACCGCAGATTCGGTCCGCATTTTTCGAGGGCAGGGAGGAAATGATCCCGGACCAAAGACGGAAGATGTTGAAAGTAATCAATTTTGCTCTGATTACTTTCAGGTTTGCATAAACGAATTGACAGCCGTCGGATTTCAGAGCAGTGACTGTGAATAAGCGTCTCCACTGGACTTCTGACTATTGCTTGCCTTTCACATACTGGGATTATTGTTGCTGAGGTGGAGGGGGAATAAGCATGGTGTAGAGTAAGAGATGATCTTTTACCGGAAGGGCTTATGTGAATGTGCAAATCATGCAAGTTGAGCGGATGAAGGACGCAGTTGTCTTCAACAGACATGAGAGAGCAGGCAACGAAGTTTACCGTCGCTTCGCCGTCTTGAACCATGGTAGTTGATTGACAGTGTAAGCGAGGCATGTAGCGTCTAGTCCCAGCATCGGCACAAACTCTGCAAAATTGCGGAATATCCAGTGGGGGTTTTTTCAGCACGCGATATTTCAAAATTCTGGGCATAATTGAAGGGTTGCTGAAGTACCGCTTGGGCAAAAAGTGACCTGGCTCTGTCAATAGCGTCAGCTCTGTGAGTTGCGACGCAGACTGCCCATTAACAAGGAACAGATCAAGCAGTTGAGACGCATGATGAATCTGAAGTGAAGTCCACCGTGGGATCCAGGACTGAACAAGTTCCCAATTA